CTTAAAGATTAGCTTAACATTAACGAAGGTGGTATGATTAAAAGTAAACTACATCTCTCGGGTCGAAAATTGGTTTACAACATCTTTGTGAAGCTTTATTGCTAAAATTCTATTTTAATTTTAAAAATTTCAAATGATATGTTGATGGAAAGATCAACAAATTTAGTTTGAACGCACTTTGTTTTTTAAAATTTTTGTAAACTAGAAGCAAACTATATGTCTAGAAAAAGTAGTGAAAAGAGAATTTAATGCATTCTTGAAAATTCTCATGAAAGTTAACTTTATTTATTAATTCCTTGGTCATTACATGCAAAGTTTTTCTAAACATTTCATCATTGTTTGTCTTTTTTGGGTTGTGACAATTCTATGATATAGAGTTATTTGATCTTAATTTTGATAGTAAATTAGCTTAATTCTTGTAGTAATGCATAGAAATTAATTAAGTTTTATTTAATTATTTTAAGTTAGTTAATTAGATGAGTCAATCTAATCTTAGTTAATCTTCTATTAAAATTGATGGTTATGTTCCTAAGATAAGTTGTTATTTATTTATTTGTGCCTTTGTAGGTGTTTATAAAAGAAGGAGAGAAATTATGAAATGTAGACTTTCACTACATATATCTCAAGATTTTGACCATAACTTTTTCTATAGAACAACAAATAAAGTGATTCTTAGACCATTGAAAAGGTAAGAAAAAATGCTACAACTTTTATGTTTAGCATATTGCCCAGTTCGACTTGAAATGTTGTCAAAAACATTTTCGAAGTTAAATCATTGCAGTAGTCCCACTACTAGAACATTAGGTTTGATTGATGAAAAAATCCATCAGTGAAGCTGTGCATTTCGCCAATAATTTTACTTACCAATAGAATTACCCGAGGAAAAATCTATCAATAATCAGTCGAAAATACTCTTGTCGGTAATAAGTTTCCGTTAGTAAAATCATCGACTAAAATTTTCATTGATATTACAGTTGGTAAAAAATCCAACCGGTTGGTTGAAAAATTCGCTGGTGATGTCAAAAATCCATCTGTAATGTCTGCTGGTAAAGTCACTGAATGAAAGTTTTGCTGTCGGTAAATTTGTTGATAATATACCGACGAATCTCACAGTTGGAAAAGTCATTTGTAATTTATCGATAGATTACCTACGGAATTCCCAAAGGAATTAGCAACTAAAATTTTTTACGTGTTTTGGTTGTAATGAAGCAAATTCCATCGGTAAAGAAAATAAGATACGTCATTATTAAAATAATTCCGTCAATAATTTCGTTGGTAATAATTCACTTTTTGTATTTTTTTTTATTTTGTGTTTCTTGCATTGAATGATAATGATATTAATATATTAAAAGTAATAATTTTGTTTGAAAGATTACTTCAAATGTATTATATAATGGAAAAAATATACCAAGTCTTTGAAAATTAAAAAGAAATGTTATCTTAAAGTAAATGAAAAACGTTAATGTAAGGAATCTATAGTACAATGAAAAGGAATTACGATTGTCCATTGGCCAAATCATTAGGAAAGGAAGATTGCTGTTGTGACTAAGGATACAACTACTATGATGATGAAGACCCACCAGCACGATCTAAAAGCCTCTCAAGGATAACCTTCATGATGGACTTAATATCATGCACGTCAGTCTTCAACTTTTTTGCATTGCTCTTCATTTCTTGATAGCCATTAGGTTCAAATGATGAAACTTATGCACTAGCAACAGAAGGCATTGAACCACAAGCAGACTCAGATCTTGCAGTTGGAACAAATAGTGTAGCAAGCTACATCTTGGCGTTAAACTCATTGATGTGGGTTCGAGTGGTTTACGGGCCTTCAATTGCCTCTAACCATGTTACTGGATCAAACTCCAGTTGGGATGATGGATCATCATCATACCTCTGCAATATAGCAGATGTGTATGATTCCTACAAATAGAAAAGAAAATGACATTATATATTAATAAAATTGTTAAGTAACATATACACATATTCAATAATATAATTAAAATAAATTGATTCATTTCTATTACTTGCATTGATAGTTTTCAACTAGTTATCGACAAACTCTTTGATACCTTTCTATTGCTTGTCAATACGTTTGAAAACCTCGGAGAATGTCACAGATCTTTATAGCGTCTCGGACTATAATCACAATAAGAAAAAAAATGCATCATCAATAATATGCATATTTTCGCAATCTTCAACAAACATAATGACAACATGTTTTAAAATCATAAAATAACAACAACATAAAACACACTCAAAAGAAAAGCTAATGCATCATTAAAACATACTCATGGCTTCGCTTCACAGTTGTTAACAACACAAGGACAACATCAAAATACTCACATTATTGACTCTACGAGTTAAGAACACATTCCATTTTCTTCTAATGTAAAGCAAAAGGTAAAGAATCCCATGTGTACTTGACTATGCTACCATCCTTCTTTGTTAGGAGATTTTGTTGGCCCTTCTCGGATCGACATTGCCTCTCGAGCATGGCCTAGACATTATCATGTAGTTGGTCCCAAACCTCTACAGTGATCTAGGGTCATGCCTTCCCGTTAGTCAAGAGGATATCATGACGAGTGCTCACGTCCCTTTTGGTTTTCCCACGCTCATCTGTTAACAGATCTTTTAATTAGACTTTGCAAATCTTCTCCTATATGTTGCAGGCTGTCGAAGCATCAGTATCAACTCAAGTAAAATACTCTTACATTAAAAATAAATATTTATATCAATATTGTTAAAGTAAAACTAGATAAATATACAATAACAATATGGTACCTCAAATTTACGCCACATGACATCTTTCATAACGGTAGGAATCAACCTCCATGTAGGCCAGGGCCCACTAAATTAATTCATCTTTATCAAAACATATTAATGAAATTACTACATATAATGAAATAAGATAATAATTGTAAATTACATCTCTCCAACAGGATGCAAAAGGATTCGTCAATCCAAATTGATAGGAGTGGGAAAGCCTACACTAGGCCTCAGCCCTTAGACTGCAATAGAGTTTGATGCACCTGTAACAATAGTTGTATTTGTTGAAGTTTCCTTTTGGATCGAATGGAGTAGTTGCTGGTGTGGACATAAGAGTGGACGTCGATGGTATCGATGCCTGAGTGGCATCAGAGGTCGCATAGCCAGTGGTGAAGACTGAGAAGGGAATCGGAGGTTGCATGTTTGAATTACCTATGTCTCTTGACTGTGCCTAAAAGCCTGTAGTAGTCTTGTATTTAACCATGGCTATGCAAAAATCTGTCATCATATTATTGACCAACCATTATTATGAATTGACAATAAATGTAATGCACAATCATTAATATTAAGTACTGTCAATAAATGTAATTCCAGAATCATAAGAAAGATGTTAATAATGGTTGATGTCGAAACAAAATGACATATATAAATAAATCAGCATAGAAAAATACATCATGTCTGTAACACCCGTACCCTCATATAGAAGCCTATAAGACCTTATCGATAAGACTAAGAGTCAATTGACATAAATTTAAGTACCAAAGAGCGGTGATGGACGAAAAGAATATTTTGGAATAGAATATTTAGGAATAGAATATTTCATACGTAATAAATTAATAATTAAGTAATAATATTTTTATCAAGAATGAATTAGCCAGTTAAAAGGTGAATCGGAGGTGAACTAGGATAAAATGAGACATTTTGAGTCCCGAGTAGACAAGTGAAAAATTTTAGAATAAAATAATATTAAAATATTAATATTTTAACTGTCGTCAAAATTAGTCATGAAGAAGAAGAATATGGTTAATCTAAGTGGAGGACAAGAAGTAAGAAAGAATTTAGAAGAAAAATGATGTTAGTGGGGCCCGTATGCCTTTATTAAATAAAGCTAGCGTGGATAAGTATATATTTAAATATTATGATGATACCTTGGTGAAGTACAAATTTTATGTTTTGTTTGCACACGTGTAAAGGAAAGAAGATAGAAGAAAATTGGAGTTTAAAACATGTTGGAAGGATCCAATTGTAAAGGATGAAAGTTTGGACGGTTAAATGGTAAATAAGAAAAAGTTTGAGGACATACGTGTAATTTTAATTAAATAGACATTTACTAACCAAGGAATGTTAGATTATGTGGAATATGAGATGTGCATGTAAAATTTACTATTACATGTAAATCATTGCATTGAAAAAAAAGGAAGTTAGTGGGGAACATGTAGGACCCCACCATGTGAAAGTTGATAAAGAGAAAAGGAATAAAGAGTATTTAAATGGGAGAAAACCATGGTTTGGCAAGGATAGCCCATAGTAAACAACATAAGGATGGTAATGTGATTTGAAAAAGAAAAGGTATAATTAAAGCATGAAATATTATTGGATGGTAAGGTGGCATTAAAATGGAAATGAAAATGAAATGCATAGAAATACATGTGGAATGAAATGCAAATGAAATAAATCAAAAGAGAAAGCCATGTGGATCGATGCATGGACATGGCAATCTAACCAAAAGATAAAGGAATAGATAAGGAAACATAGCATGAACAAGCCACCAATGGGAGGTGGGGATAATAACAAAGAGAAGAATTGATTGGCATGACTTGTAAAGAGAAAAGAAAAGAAAATAGTGGAAAAAAGAATGGACAATGATGGTGGCGGGTGAAAAGGTTTCAAAAGCCCTTTTACCTTGCGATTTTAACCACATGAAAGTAAAAGGAAAATGATAAAATGACCAAACTTTGGGCAATCCACCCATGAGAGAAGAAATGAAAGGAAATGTTGCCATTTCCTTGGGCAATCTGCCCATAACAAAGAGAAATGGGATGAAGGCTCATTTTACCCTTGTTTTGTCCACCACCTAAGAGGAAGAGAGAAAAGAGAATAAAAGCAACATGCGAGGAAAGGTTTGGTTTTTAGAAGAAAAATGTGAAGAAAACAAGTGAATTCCATGAGAGATCCGCCCATTTGGAAGAGAGATGGAAGGAAAATAGCCTTATGAGGTTTCCACCCGAGAAGAGAGAAAGAGTTGAGTGAAAAGGGCTTGGAGAAGGCTCGATTTTGTGGAAGTTGGGAGCAATATCGAAAGGTTTTCTCTTGCATGCCATGGTTGGAGCTTTAGGAAGGCATGGGAGGTTCAACCTAGTGATTCCAAGCTAAGGAAGGTAAGTATAACCTTGATTTTGGTTATGATTTCTTGAGGAAATGAGTTGGTAATTATGTGAGAATGTTTGTGGCAGCAAAGGTCCTCCAAGATTTGAAAGAAATAGATGCATGCATGTGGATCAATCTTAGAATGCGTGATGATTTTGGTGTTAGATGAGTAATGGGTGAGTACTTTGGTTTTGAAATCACAAATAGACAAGAGAAATGAGATGTGTGCTAATTGTTTATACTTATGGCAGCAATGGTGACCAAGAATGTGAGGAATGGTAGATTATATGTGAAACTCAAGCTAAAACCGAGAGGTGAGCATGCAGTGTGTCCAAATTGTGTTGTGTTGGTTATGAATAGTTGATAATATGGGAAATGTTTGTTAAAATGCTTGTGGTTGAGGTTGATGAAAATTATGAAATTTGGTTAAGGAATCATTACTCAAGCTGTTGCCCATATATGTGTATGATTAAGCATATTCAGTTTAATTTGTTGCTAGGGAATGTTTGTCATAGTGGAGTACCGAAGGAGGTAACGGGTGACCGGCAAGTAAAATTAGCTAGATATGCACTTGAGTCAATAGCAACATAGCGTCCCGCTATTGTAAGGTGAGTAAGGGGGTGTCAATTTTAAAATCTCCGTACTATACATTATTTTACGTTAATAAACGTGGTTGGTTTTTCTTAAGTGCATTTGTGAATAGCATGAGCTGTTAGCCTTGATAGGCAATTTTAAAACAGATTTACAATGATTTATATATTGCTATTGTGGAAAGCATGAGCTGGTAGAAACCATAGGAAATTGTAGGTGCAAGTGTTTTTAAAGTGATTTGGATATATCTATAGATAAGCTATATATGTAAAGAGTTTTAAAAACTAGGAAACAAGCCTTTCACGATGTTTGCATCAAAATCCGTACCTTATATTTTTGTGTGATATGCATAACCACATACATTTGTTAAATGATTTAAAATGCAAGTTCGAGCACCGGTTTTATTCCAATCTCTGTACAAAGTGTTTACACCATGCCATTTAATGTGAAAAGAAATTTGAAGGATTATTGAACTTTGATTTCAAATGATTTAAAAGAAAAGCCTCGAAAAACTTGATTTGGTTTCGAAAACGGTTTTGACAAACTGAGAGTGTCGAGAGTAGGCTGGCTGTCACTTCTGTTAAGTGCGACCCTTCTGCACAAGTGAGCTCTAGCTAGAGAACCTTGGGTCGCTAATGGGCTGTTAGACATGGCTGGGGCCATAATTTGTGATACACGTGGCAAGGCCACGGGCTGTTATATGTGGCTAGTCCATAAGTGATCTTCATGGTTATGACCGCTTGATTCTCTGATGTCAGCCAACATCGTTGAGACTGCCATGGCTATGGAGATCCGATGGAGCAGAGCTCCTAGATGTTATTATGTGAAACTGGGTCCACGAGTGATTATGATGCTTACCTACTCGAGAGCCTTGTGAGTTTTTTGACGCGTACTATTTTGCATGGTTGAGCATTAAGATTTCTTTGCAACTCCTCTTGTTTGTATAAAAGATTTCAGTGTTTACTTGACAATCGTGAAATGGTTTATGTGGCTGTACACTTTGATTTCGTTGCATGCCACACATTTTGGGAGCGTGCATACTTTTATACTGTTATTCATATTTTGATGGCAAGTGATGTTTCTGATGATTGAACTCTATTTTTCTACACTTGTTTTCAACACCGTTGCGCCAAGTGAAATATTGCATTATGATTACGTCATGATTTTTGCAAGGCATAAATATCCTACTTATGATTTGGTTTCTTAAGATTATGATTTGATATTCCTGGTTTATTATTCAACTTATCTACTTTAAGCTTGTTTTCCATCTACGCCCTACTCACGGAGCCAATGATCACTGAGTCTGTGAGACTCACCCCTTTATTTTGCTTTTGCATATAGTGATTAGCCTAGCGTGCAGTCATCGGCATTTTCAGTCCACCGCGGATAGGTAAAGGTATCTCATAGCACTTTATTCTGAGTCACTCCGCTGCTAAAAGTCAGGTTGTCATTGTGTAAGTTGTTATGAAATTAGACATTAGTGTCAATACAAATGTACATTTAGAGATTATAAACCTTGATGTATTATTTTTACGATTATGTGGAATAAAGGTTTAGTCAATTTATAAAGATTATCATTAATTCTTATTACAAAGAGTTTTATGGATCAAAGAAATTTCATAGATTGATGGTATGAATCTGAAGTAATAACTAACATTTTAAGTAAGGCTTGTTCGAGACTTGGCAGGTATGTATGTCTAGGTGTGTCACCTGTAGACATATATATAAAGTATACATAACATTACTACTTTAGGTGTGTTACCTTTAGACATACATACTCGGATACCGATAGCGATCGAGGAGTGGTTGTTACAATGTCAACATCTTGACATCGGTTAAATATATAAAAAAAACCATCAACCATCAATCATCATTTGACATGCAAACTCATTTTCATTGTTCTCATCTTCAGTATCATTGCTTTCATTATCATCGTCTTCTTCTACATCTTCCTCTATCTCTTTGTCTTCTCCTTCAACTCTTTCATCATCACCATCTTCATCATTATGTTCTACCTTAACAAAGGTAATAACCCTTTTCATATTCACCACTAGCAAGAATTGTATTGCCATCAAGGTAGTTTGAAGGATCATCAAATCATGTATTGATATTGTCTTCAGTTTTTTGACACACCACTTTAGTATTCAAAATATTAAATCAACTTTGAGCCTTCGTTTTAAACACTGTCCACCAATCACATTAATCTCTTTTGTTTGATGGGTATAGACTATAGTAACTTGAGTAACTTGTTCAACTAAAACAAAAAGCTCATTACTAGCAAAAATTGAGTTGCATCTTATTTTGACCAACCAATGAACAAGATAAACTCTAAGACCTTTTTCAATATCAAATCAATGACATTTGAACAAAATGACTTGATTGTTTACACCATATTCTAACTCAACAATATCGACCAATAAATCGTAAAAGTCATTATCATAATCATTATAGCAACTTTCTTTGATATAGACACCACTATTCATTGTGGAATGATTTTTTTCATATTCCAATGAATTGAACTTGTATCAATTGACATAATAACCTTTGTAACACATCACCATACAACCAGAACCATGCAACATGTTGACAAGATGAGAATCAGTTTGATTCACCAATGAGAAAGTGACATGCCATATATTATTTCAAATGTTATTTTAACGCTTACAATTAGATTGACGAATGATAACTTACATATTGTTCAAACCAATTGTCATGACCCAAACTTGATGTTTCGTGACTAGCACACACAAGCCTGGCAAGCAAGTTTGTGATACTTAAAGAAGCCTTTTGTCATAAGTCTTGTTTAACATAAATCATTCACATAAGGCCTCTTGGCCAATATCATTCATTAAACTTAAAATGCTTCATATTTGACATCAAACTTTCAGCTCTTAAAATCATCCAAGACTTAAACATAACAATACACATAACCATACATTGGCTAATATCACATTAAGTCTTTAATCATCTTGTTACATGAAGGCATATGGGGTAGCACAGTAGCCATATAATCTATTTAAGTTTAAAACCACTTATACATTGTGTAAGCATAAAGACTCATCTATGACTCAGCAGAGAAACTCATCAGCATGATAACATAGCAATTGTCAAATTGCATGTCTGTCAAAGTGACAACACTAGCCACCAATCCTTCGAATCTATTTATCTGCACAATATAATTGAAATGAGTGAGTCACACTAGTACTCTGTGAACGGGAGCATAAAACAATTGTAAAGGTGTAGGGATAGTCGCTACACGTATCCTTTAATCATGCATGCATATCATATATCTCAAACATGTACATAATGGGATAGGTCGAATGTCACTTGCCAAACATAGTCTATCATAATCATGGTAGCCATACTATGCTACATACTTACGTCCGTTAACACATTAAGGTGGCATAATCATCTTCACCTTATTGATTTAATATCATTATCAACATAACCTTTTATCAATTCAATCTACCATATGAATCGGCCCACCATATAGCCGCCTACATACGTAACTTATCATACATACTCTATAATTCTCGCCTCAATGCTACGCCATAGGCTCCTCAAGCTCTTAGCATATTGATTCGTACATAATATTTTCATATGGCTCTTACCTTAAGCTTTTTACATTAATCATCTATTCATAACATCAAAGCATATCATGGTGCTTAACATATAAATATCCTATGACACGTCTTTACATATTCATAACATCGAAACATATCATAGAATGGTCCTCCTTGGACATTTACATGGTCATGTACGGTGGCTAACTGATAGACAACATGCAACATCATGTCACGCCCCGTTGCCATAATAAACAATAAAGTCAAATAACATCATTCAAACAATCTCAATGGATGGTATCATCGCACTACAGGCGAGAATCATAGGTGGGATGAAACCACCATCCTTGTAGGCAGCATACATGATCATTGCAGAACAGGCGAGACGAAACCACCATCCCTACTTACCACCATCCCTGCCAACAGCATTCATCATCACATGGGGTTTGGACACACTCAAACCTCATAATATTCATCATCTGAAAATCCTCCATGGAGGAACATACTTATTCTACATCATAACATTGTCCAGAATCATCCATGGACGATTCACATTCATCATTCACATTCTCTATCAATTATATTGATCATCATATTACCTTATCATCACATTAGCCAAGGTATTATCCTTTTAAGCATTTTACATAGTTCTCATGACATTTACTCAATCTAGACATAGCATTTCTAGACACATATAACTTATTGATATCAAGTTGTACATCAATTCCTCATATCATAGCTTTGTGGTCACATTAACATTATCATACTTAGCCTAAATACAATTCTTCCAAGCAATTCACGTCATTCATAACATTACTAGTGTAGGTGTGTCACCTATAGATATACATATAAAGTACACATAACATTTGTCATGAATATTCATCCTAAAAGCATACATGCACCCTAGTCATTATGCTCTTATGCATAAAAATTTTGCACTCACCTTGACACTTCAATGTCTCTTTGATTGCACTTGTTTAGCTTAGCTTATTACTTTTAGCTTTAATTCACCTAACTCAGTAGTTGAGCAGCATTCATACTCCCATTGTACATCTAGCAATCAATAATCCATAAATATCAACATTTATACCATAACTCTTCATTTCATGGCCAATTC